GGCCGACGACCTCGTGCTGTCCCTGAGCAACCCCCAGATGCCGCCCGAGGGCCCAGAGAAGGCCAGCTGGTTGCCGGAGCAGCCTCAGTTCTGGTCGAAGGCCCAGGTGCTCGACTGGATCAGCTACCAGGTGGAGAAGAACAAGTTTGACGCCAGCACCATCGACTTCTCGCGCTTCGACATGGACAGGGCTGCACTCTGCAGCTGCGCGCCCGAGGAGCTGCGGCTGGTCTTCGGGCCCCTGGGGGACCAGCTCTACGCCCAGCTGTGGGACCCCACGTGCAGCTTCCCGGACGAGCTCAGCTGGACCATCGATCTCCTGGAGCAGGACAGCACCTCGTTCCAGGAGATGCTAGGGGACCCCAGCCCCTTTGACCAGGGCAGCCCCTTTGGCCTGGAGATGCCGGAGGATGGCCAGCAGCCCAGTCCCTACAACTGGGGCAGCTATGACGTGCCCCCCCACTCCCCCCCTCGCATCTTCGGGCAGCTTGGATGTCTCCACCGGCTCCACTGCCGGGACTGGTGCCTCTGGGTGCTCCCATTCTTACAAGACTCGGGGAGAAGCCACGTGGACCTGGGCCCCAGGGACAGCAAGCTCTTCTCCAGGGCAGACTTCGCTGACTACAAGAACGGGGACCCCAAGCACGGGAAGCGGAAGTGGGGCGGCCCCGGAAGCTGAGCAGAGAGTCTCGGGACAGCTGGAGGGGCCGGAGGAGCATGTGGATTTCCAGCGGCACCCACCTGTGGGAGTTCATCCGGGGCATCCTCATCCGCCCGGAGCTAAACGAGGGCTTGATGAAGGGGGAGAACCGGCAGGAGGGCGTGTTCCGGTTCCTGCGCTCCGAGGCCATGGCCCCACCGTGGGGCCGGAAGAAGGAAAACAGCGGGATGACGTACAAGAAGCTGAGCCGGGCCCTGAGATACCACTACAAACGGGAGATCCCGGAGCGCGCGGCCGGCCGGCAGCTTGTCTACAAGTTCGGCAAGAACTCCAGTGGCCGGAAGGAGGAGGAGGAGGAGGTGGAGGAGGAGGAGGAGGTCGGGAGCCGGAACTGAGGGTCTGAGTGGACCCAAGTCAGACGTGTGGGCTCGAGGCTGTAGCCCCGATCGATCGAGGGGAGGGCTGCTGTTCTGTGGAGGAAGCAGAGGCTCGGGGTCTCCTTGGCCGCTGCCTCGTGGGATTACAAGCCCTGGGTTTGAAGTGACTTATTCGGTGACAGCGTTGTAAGTGTGGCTTCTACGGGGCCTCCTGAGGCCCAATTCGGACCAGGCTACCGACTCCGCTTTCCTCCTGCTGGGTGCCCGGATGGAGGCCGGGAGGCGGGGAGGCCCAGGGCACCGTGAGCCGGGGGACAGGGCCTGCACTCCTCCCTGGACTGGGTCCCCCTCCCTCCCAGTGTGTGGGCTCCGCGGGCGGGGGTCAGAGCACTCCCTAATTTATGTGCTACAGATGCGCCAGGTGTACATAGAGATCTGTTTTTTCTAAGATGTCCTCCTGACTGTTCTCGGCCATGGGCTGGGCCAGTGGGGGGCGGGGATGCCGGCCACTAAGGATGGATCCGGCTCCTCTCTCCTGAGCGGGGCACAGAGACCCCCCCCAATAAAGTGTCTTCTGGGCTTTTTGTAAAAAAATGAAAAAGTGTGGAGGGTTGTCTGACACACGGGGCAATCTGACAGGCTGACATGCACCATCTGGGTAAAATGAAGCCTGGAAGGAGGTAGTAACATAAGCTTTTGGAACCTGGAGAAAGGACCCCTTCATCATCACTTTTGTGCTCCCCGAGTCATAACGCTGAAAGGGCTGTTGGGACCCACAGATGTTAAGGGTGTAGCGTATTCAGGAATGGGCCACGGGCTCTTCCTTCCAGAAAAGATTCCTTCCTGCTGGTGATCAGAGGTAGGGAAGCTCGAATGCAATCTGTTTGTCTCCACCAAAAGGCATCTTTTTA